CTAGACTTGAAATTTAATTAGAGTATTGTTTTGACTTGCACAAATTCTGAATTCTATCGAATTGGCATACACCTTTTATCCACATAATTATTATAGCTAATATTCATTGTAATTTTCAATGTGAAATCATTATAACATTTCCGTGTCTTTCTTACAAAAATTAATAATTGATAAGAAAAAAAAAAATTTATAATGAGCATGGAAAGTTTCAGTTAAAGAAATTGAAGGTCTCATAAGTGAGGAAATCTTCCTAGTATATAAATAAACATATCTAATAGAATTAAAAAATTTATTTTAAACAAATCACAATCGAATAGAATAAATTTAATTACAATAAAAATTCATTATTTCTAAGTCAAAAAAATATAGACTCCGGATAAGTAATCACCAACATATCATATACTAAAACCTTCTCTGAAACACGTTGCATCTTATGGTATAAGTATTATTCCGATTAGTTCAGTAGTTTTCACAGTATAACCGGACAAAAAAAAAAATCGGCTCTCCATTTATTAGTATAGATGATGAGTTTTACTTGTATATCATTTTCTGGTTTTTACAAGACTGATTGTCTTAGCGTCTCCGCATATAGTTATCTCATTCAACATATTATTTTTAATTCTTTATTATCATTTTTTTTTATTCTTTATTTTATTTATTTATCAAAATTTTAGACCCTGAAGCGTTAGCTCCCTAAGGGCCTTACATATAAATGAATACATAGTAATAATAAAAGTAGTTAAACAGTAATAGATATGATAATAATAAGACAGTAAGAAAGTTTTACAAAGATATATTACAAGAAAGTGAAATCAGCTATTGGAAAAAAGATAGAATTAATAGTGAGTACAAAGAGGTATGGGCAAGAACGAGATGTGGAAATCTGTGGAGAAGCGGTAAAAAAGGGCAAAAGAATTGGGAATGCAGAATATGCAAGAAAGAGGAGGAGACACTGATGCATTTATTAAGCTGTTCAGAGATAATGGAAAAAATAAGTGAAAAAGGGCAACAAGCAAGATACAAGTGGATGGAAGAACTAGAGGGGGAAATAAAAAGAGAAAGATTAGTGATAATTTTAAAAGGTGAAATAAATAGGGATCTGTGTATATATGTTAGAGAAATGGAAAAATTATTTAAGGAAATTGAGTAGTATTACAATATTGAATGTCAGAAAAAGGCTGTCATTAATATACAGGGATGGATACTAGAAATAAGTATAAAATAGTATTAATAGTATTGTAATGCGACTGTGATATGAAGGATGAGGTGGGTGAAAAGTTAAAAGAGAGTAAAAGCAGTTGATTTTTAAGCCAAAAATAGTGTATATGCAAATGTAAATAAATAATTTAAGATACAGTTTTGTAAAACGCAATATGTGATACAAATAAAAACGATATTCTATTTTAAGACAGTAAGAATAAGAAAAGTAACGTTGTCTCAAAGCCTATCTAATTTACTATCTAATGACTTTAGTTCATAAAACAAAATTTATTTTGTTTTATTTTTTATATATAATTAATTTGATTACTTATTTTTTTTTTTTTTTTAGAAACTCTTAATGATACAATGGCTGATTCAGTAATTGAAAGTAAAGAGTACAATCAAAACGAAACAGTTGAAATGGTTTCTTTGATCCAAGAGACTACGCCACAAAAACAATCAACTAAAATTGACAATGTTATCAAATTTAAAGATTCAGTGGATTGGTGTAAGAATGTTATTACTAATGAAAGCTACAAAGGACGAAGAAATTTCACATCTGGTGGATTTTCGGATCAGAGCACCAGTGCCTTTACTTCTGCACAAGACACTGGTTATCAGACTTACAGTATGAACAATACTGCTAATACTAATACTACAAATAACCGGAGTTTTACTCCTGTCAAGAAAGGGTTTAATTGGGACGATCGTCACACCGGAATGTCATCTGTCAGTGAAATAAGACTGTCCGATTGGCAGGGTAACTTCAATTCTGTGATCAGCTCGACGCCTTCGAAATTCATACGAAGCAGAGAAAACCATATTTAGAAAATTTATTAATTTAATATTAATCTGGCATGATTGATCAATTTCATTTGATAACATTAATTCATATATAAATATTGACGTTATCAATTAGAATAAGAACAATAAAATTTGCTTAAATTTTAAATATATATTTTTAGTCAATGTAATGAAAATTCATCGCATGTGCAATTCCTAATTGATTTTAATAGTTCGTAACTAGTGTGAAATGAATTATCGATTTTATTTGTAATTCAATTATAAATAATTATCAATTTTAGCATGACTTCACGATTCAGTTTTTTTTTATTATTATTTTTTTAATATTTTCATTTGCATTTTTTTTTGTATTTGTATATTTGTGAGACTGACGTGATGTAATTTGTAGCATTACATATTTTGTAATAAATATCAATGTGTTTTTATAATTATGATTTTATTTAATATTTATTCAGAGATCTTATTAAGTAATTTTAAGTAACTAGATCGTAAGTTTATAATTCTTGAAAAATTCTAACTAAGAAATTATTTAATATTCAAACGGATTGGCTAGTAATATCGTCTAACATGGTTTTAAAGCCACATGTGCTCGGATTGTAATATAATTTATTAAGTTATTGGATACAAAAAATACAACTAGAAACACTAATACTAGAGACTAAAAAAGGTCAATAAATTTTTAGCTTAGTGATTATTTTTATTTAAATCAATTAACTAAATTCGAAAGGTTTTTTACAGTCACGGGAATTATTTATGAATGAAAACTAAATTAGCCGACATCTAAGAATTTTTTTTATTGAAAAAATTATTTAAAAAAAATTTCATTTGTAAAAAACTTGAAAAACTGGAAGTGCAATTTTTAAAAAATATTTTTTGGTTTTAATTTTTTCAATAAAAAAAATTAAAAAATTAAAAACGTCGGCTAACTTTATTATTGTTATTCATAATACTGCAATCAGCCGACAATTTTATAAAATTCTCATAACAAATCATTTAAAAAAAAAAAATATTTTAAGAAACTTTTTTCTTATAATTTTTTTTATGAAAATAAATTTGGCAGATATTAAATAATTTTTAGAATTTTTTTTAACAAATAAATAATGCCAAAAAAAAAAAATAAGAAAAAAAATTGGCATGTAGAAATTTAAAAAAATGAAAAATGCAATTTTTTAAAAATTATTTTTTAGAACAAATTAATTAAAAAAAAAAAAATTCTCTAATGGCTGCTAACTTTACTGTCATATTTTTTTTAATTTCTACAAATGGAATTTTTTTACTAAATTTTTTTTTATAATAATTTAATAATTATAAAAATTCAAAAAAATTATCAGATGTTTGTTAATTTCAGTATCATGAGTGAACATTTTCGCAGGTAGATGGCTATTGACATGAAACTGTCAGAAAAAGTCTCAAGAGCTCCAAATTTTAGGTTAGGTTAAGAATTATAAACAAAAACACTATAAATTTATATATGAATGAACCAATATTGATTGAAAATATAAATAATTAAAAAATGTCAACAATGCAAAACAATGAAATATGTAATTTCACTTGCACAGAATGTGATAATTTTTATAGAAGTGAACATGAGTATTTAAATCACATGCAATTGCACTGGGGAGAAGTTTGGAAATGTTTGCAGTGTGATGACAAATGCACGTTGTTTAAATCGCAAGTTGGATTAAAAGAACACGAGGGTTTGTATCATGGTTCAGATAAACCATTCAGATGTTCCAAATGTAAGCTAGTGTTCGATAGAGTTTCGCAGTTGGACTACCATGTGCGGAGCATTCACTTGGGTGAAAAATCTCAAGTATGCCAGCTGTGTGGAAAAGGATTTTTTCGCAAAGCTGACTTGAAGACACATCTCAATGTTCATCTTGGTACCAATCAATGCATTTGCGAGTTTTGTGGACGTCAATTTAATCATATTTCTAATTTGATTCGTCATCTAAGAATTCATGAAGGTAATTTCATTTTTTTTAGATAAAAATATTTCGGTTGAAAAATTGTATCATTCTAAACAAGATACTCAGATTTATATATTTTTAATTTTATTACTTTATAAAATAGAATTGATTATATAAATTATTTTATTTATTTTTTGTAGGAACTAAACCATACCCATGTTCTGTCTGCGGTAAGAGATTTACTCAAGTCAGTTCATTGGCAAGACATAAATTAATTCACGAACGAAATAATGAAACTACAAATGATGAACAAGGACAAATAAGTTTTCAGACTGTAACAAAAAATAAAACAGCTAAACTTAAGCCTGTAAAACGTCAACATTACTGTCAAACATGTGGCGACAGTTTTCAGCTGATGGTGCTTTTAAAAGAACATGAAAAAACTCATAAACCATTACCAGAACCACAGAAGGCTTATCAGGTTAAGTATCAACTAACAACCTTGCAGTTACTATGTGACTGTCGTGACCTGTGAACTATAAATAAATAAAATTTTGCTATATTAAATAATGACTTTAAATTGCACTGTACTTTCTTAACTATTGACGTTTTTAAAGATATAAGCTCATCCCGATGTTACACTCATCAAGAGCTTTCAGTTGAGTGCCCACATGCATTTTTGATATATTTTTCATACAT